TTTCCAATCTGAAATCCGTCCATGTCAAGGATCCCAACGATGTCTGCTTTACACTACATGTTGACTGATGATTGTGATGTGAATTAGATTGCTTGAAACACTAATCTACGTTCTTGCGTGTGATATAACTATCGCGTGCTCGATCGCGTGTACAAAACTTTAATCCATGTGTTAATTTATGCATGCAGTCAACCAACGCGGTAGCTTTGGCAATAATATTTTGCTCTTAAAATCAGTGCGATTTATATAGGGACACTTTTCAAAGTGTCCCGCAAGCAAGTCCTGGGCGTCCCGTAGAAACGTCCCTGCGTCCCGTGCGTATGTGCATGTGCTCATCTGCTCATAAAACTGCAATACTGCTCAATAGCAAGACATTTCTGCACAGTCAGTGCTAACGGAATGAGCTGCCAATTTTGCGGAAAGCAATTTAATCGTGGTTACAATCTACGAAGACACGAAAAGGAATACTGTTCCCTAGGTGCACAAGAAATAAACATGTCTCAAACGGACTTGGATAGCCAGGAAAGGGATTTTCAAGACCACGTTTCGACAACTTCAACTGAAGTGTCTGAAATTTCGACGATGACTAGATAATGAGTCAGAAACTGAAGCTTAGAGGAAATGGATCCTTGGATACCGTTGATAGAAGAAGCAAAGCAAAGAAGTAATATAGCATTTGAGGAAGTGAAAGAAAGCCTTATCAACAGTGGTCTATATGAACAATCCGCTAAGGACAAAGCTTACTCTAATATTCTGCCTAAACTCCAGAAGGAACTGGAAAATATTTATATGGAGCGTCTCTTGTGGATGAAACAACTAAAGAAAGATTCAGTTCATAAGAAGATTATGCACACAAAAGATGCACTTGTGGAAAACGATGATTTTGATCCAGAAGAAGCGTTAGAAGCAGCTGTTGATATGAGAACGTTTCTTATAAAAAGGCTTTTAAAGGGTTACACATTTGATGAGGAGAATGATGATGATTAGATTCGAGTATACGATTGAAGTCATGCATTCGAACAGTATATATTAGCATGTAAAAAACATACCAGTATAGACACAGCATATAACGTCGAGTCATTCAATAAATTGATTTTTAATTACTTGTCTTTTCCTGTCATTTTTACATGGGTCGTCCGGGTACAAATCAAAATGGCAAAAGATGCGAATACGAAAATGTATACATTTGTGTACATAAACTTTGCAGCGGCTTCCACGAAAAATGCACACCCAGTCTTCGGGCCTAAACGAGCCTTATGAGCAGATGAGCATGTGCTCATGAGCAGTTATGAGCATGTGCTCATACGCTCATGCAGGAAGAGCAGATGAGCATGTGCTCATGAGCAGTTATGAGCATGTGCTCATACGCACGGGACGCAGGGACGTTTCTACGGGACGCCCAGGACTTGCTTGCGGGACACTTTGATAGTTATATCGCACGCAAGAACGACACGCGATAGTTATATCGCACGCAAGAACGTAGATTAGTGTTTCAAGCAATCTAATTCACATCACAATCAATCAGTCAACATGTAGTGTAAAGCAGACATCGTTGGGATCCTTGACATGGACGGATTTCAGATTGGAAAGAAATTTTTTTCTGTAAGGAGTTGGGAGTCATAAAGGTCGGAGACTCTGAAGCCTCATCGTTGTTTTTTGATATTGACTTACACTGGAACGAGCTGAACGAGAAAGACAAGAGAACGTGTAACTTCGTCCAGTAGAATATACATAAACTCCCGTCTGGAGTGCCTCGGGCACTAAAACATTTCAAATTTCGGACTTGCAGGCATTTGTAGAGAATTTCTACCGTGAAATACAGATAGATTCAAACTCTACAATTGCCTTCAAAGGCGGACATTACGAAATGGATTTGCTGGAGAGTCTCCGTATTCAGGCCGTAAATTTGGAATGCTTCAATTGTCCCAAAGCTGAAAAACTATTTGATCAACTGATTTGGTTAGAAACCTGCGGGAACCATTTGGAAAGCAACGCTTATCAACACTGCGCAAAAGTCGAAGTCGAGGCCTTTGCGATGTGGCTGCAACAGTAAAGACAAACACAAAACACCGGTTCTTTTAAGAACCACTAATTTTACAAAAAAGAATAAAAACGAAACTCGATTATTAACATATTTGCACTGAATCTCAAAGTTTACTTCTCAAATATTCCACATATGCCTTATAATGATCTTCTTCATGACTTCTAAATTGCTCGCCTGTCGCTTTCACAGTATACTTAAAACTAAGGGGGCATTGAAAAAAAGACCATAGCCCCAGGTTCAAGTGGGTCATCACAACAATCCTCTTTCCAGTTAGAAAGTTGGTCTAGAATACTCAGCATCTCACTGTTCTCCACACTCATCATTGATTTAACACACACGGGGTCCCTCCTCAATTGATTCCAATATTCAAACACGTATTCATCCCACTGAAGCTCTAAAACTTTGGTCACCTCAACAAACTTATTCCATACCATGTCTTTTTTGCTAACTCGCTCTATGGCTTCCAAATCATACATCTGCGATCTCTCCTCATACGATAACATAAGACACTCACTCTGACTAAAGCGATTTAGTTTACAACCACAGCACCTCTCTTCGAAAAGCTCATAAACCTCGCAAGAAACAGTTTGTGCAAATATTGTCTCTAACAAATTGCATAGCTTCCGAAATTCCATAGGCGAAACTTCGCCAACATTATTCGACCTTGAAGAACGCATACTTGTTGGGAAAGAAAACATTCGTTAGCCCTATTAGTGTGCAGTGATATCAGTGAATAAACGCGCAGTCACTTTTATAGACATGTGCAATACAATTACGTAATGCTTACTAAACTGGACGTACACTAAGTACGAACGCTCGGACGTACACCCCCTTTGGACGTCATATATTCGCTTGAATCACTTCCGTACCTATATGAGGGGGGGGGGGGGTAACTACTTCTCTATATCCCTCAAGTCGTATCGTATCGTAAAAATGTATTTCATGACGCTATAGCCTCATCAACATAAGTTGGTTTTCATGAGGGGCGTCGTCAATTTATTAATATTTACAAGAGAATAAATAGAAACAAAGAACAAACTATTTTTTTGTGCATGCTGGATACAGGAGGTGTGACCCATATGTTAACATTGGTAACAGAGTTAAAGATTAATATTTTGTTTGAAACTATGAATTGATTGTGCTTCTTTTGCTTCCCGAGAAAGGCTATTCCAAAGCTTTGCCCGCTGTATTTAAAAGTTTCAACCTCGTCCCCGGCTCTTCCCTCTTTTTTTGTCCTCAAAAAGAGGGAAGAGCCTGGGAACGAGGTTGATATTATATGACGATCCTATGATCATGTACTTATTTTTAGTAGGGTGGTGCTGTAGTTTGTTACTGGCGAGCCAATCACTGATTAACTGTTGTAGGTCAGAATTTAATTTATCAATCAGCTCATTATAATCGTTAGAAGAAGGAAATATTTGGGTATCGTCAGCGTATAAACAAGGTGTAGTTTTTTTTAGTATCTTCAGCGTATAAGTTTTTTGGGTATCGGCAGCGTATAAACAAGGTGTAGTCATTTTTTATATGGTCAAGAATTATAAATGATTATAAGAATGCTTTACACAATCTTTTACCTAGTAAGTTAAATCGACTTTTACGACGGAGAGATCATGACTTTGAACTACCAATTGTTAAAACTGAGAGGTTCAAAAACGCGTTTATAAATAGATGTCTTTCCAATTTTATATAAACTATATATCTATATTCTTATACCTTAGAGTTTTAAAGTGCTAAAAATTGATGTAAATAACAGTAACAATCTAATAGACCTTTCCAAGGTTTCTACCGCCATATTGCAGGGGGTGCAAAAACATTGGGGCGAGCGCGCGGCCACCAATGGCGCCCATACTATTTCCTATTGAGTGAGTGAAAATTACCTTTTGACATTTTGTACTTTTTCTCAAAAAATTTCTATACAAGCATATCCAATTTTTATTTTTAGATAATCGCTGGGTTTATGTGGCCGAGATTTCGTGCTAATCGAAGGACAGGAAGTAATAAAAAACGGCGGCTTTTGTTGCACAACTTGGCCGACGTTTGAGCGATGATTCTTGTTATTTCGTTTGTTTAACCAATCTTTGGAAGAATATTTGTCCATTAAGTGTGTAAGTCTTTGGTGTCCGCCATTATTACTGTTTATATTTGTATATTTGTACAAAAATCATCGCTCAAATGTCGGTCAAGTTGTACAATAAAAGCCGCCGTTTTTTATTACTTCCTGTCCTTCGATTAGCAAGAAATCTCGGCCACATATCAGAAAAAACCCAGAGATTATCTAAAAATAAAAATTGGATATGCTTGTATAGAAATTTTTTGAGAAAAAGGACAAAATGTCAAAAGGTAATTTTCACTCACTCAATAGGAAATAGTATGGGCGCCATTGGTGGCCGCGCGCTCGCCCCAATGTTTTTGCACCCCCTGCAATATGGCGGTAGAAACCTTGGAAAGGTCTATTGTAGTATTCTTAATATGTAAACTCAGACGTTTGCTTTGAGGGGACTACCTAACAGTCGTGGGTCGTGGGTAGAATGTCGTGGGTAAAAAGTCGTGGGTCGAATGTCGTGGGTAAAACGCCGTGGGTAAAAAGTCGTGGGTCGTGGGTAAAAAAGTCGTGCGTCGTGGGTAAAAAGTCGTGAGTCTGGAATAAAAAATCGTGGGTCCCGAGAAAAAGTCGTGGGTTCCAAACAAAATGTTTCCGCATACCTTTTTCCTTTTGGAATGCGATAGCGTGTTTTTTTCTGGGGCTTTCCCAAATGTACGTAGAGCGCATTCATTAAGGATTTAATTAAGGGTAGTTGATATGGACAGATCGGTTTAAAAATAACCAATTGTGAATGAAACCGTTCAACTTCACGCCCCATACAGGAGTCAAATATTTAGACGTTATAATCTTAAAGACAGCTAACTATTGTAATTCTTCAGTAGGAAATAATGCGATACAATAGATCGAGAACAAGCCGTTTGTCACTACTGCAATTAACTTGGTTATATACTAGATATATATTTAAGTGAAATCTCTCAATTTTTCCCTAGTAAAACAGACATTACATTACATTACGTTACGTTACGTTACATTACATTAATTACATTAGGGACGGACCATTAGAAAAGTGATGGGGGGGGGGGATTTTCTAGGAGGCAATATTTTTTTTTGTACACCTATAGAAGAATTTTTTTTTTCTCACTTGACGGTTGGAAATATTTTTTTTTTAAAGGGGCCCCACAGTAATTTTTTAGTCCAGTAAGTATTGTTTACATGTTTTTGTTATTGTCTCTATTTGACATGCGCACCACAGTATGCATGCATTTTCTGGTGTGCAAAAGTACTCATACTCATGGATACTGCATGTAAGATACAGCCAAACGAATCTCTGTGGAGTCCCCTACTTAAGCTGGCTTTCGACTAAAAAATGACTGTAGGGCCCCTTTAAGTGAAATTTATAGGCATATTAGTAGTGTAGTCCTGGAATGTTAACAAGGGGGGCTCTCCAAAGTGCCCTGAATTGGCGGGAGGGGAGGGGAGGTACAATAAGATATTTTGGAAATTCTAAATTTTGTTGGGGTATATTCTAGTAATTCTGGGACAAACATTTGACGTTATTCTTATTAAAAACAAGCCGAAGCGAGGGCCGAAGGCCCAAGGAAATTTTTAAATTTAGAGTCTCTGAAATGCCATTTCCTGGACTTTGGGGAAGATTTGACATGAAATTTCAACAAGGGGGCTCAGCCTCCCTGAGCCCTCCCTCCAGTACACCACTTGGCCTATCTTCTAGGCAAGGATCTTTTTTTTTGCACTATGCCTGGAAAGATTTTTTTTTTCTTAATTTTTTTCTGGGAATAAATTTTTTTTTTGGTTTTGCCCCACCCACCCCCATCACTTTTCTAATGGTCCGTCCCTTACATTACATTAGTCATTACATTAGTCATTACATTAGTCATCACATTAGTCATTACATTAGTCATTACATTAGTCATTACATTAGTCATTACATTAGTCATTACATTAGTCATTACATTAGTCATTACATTAGTCATTACATTAGTCATTACATTAGTCATTACATTAGTCATTACATTAGTCATTACATTAGTCATTACATTACATTGAGTTTGGGTAATGGTCGAGTGTCGAGGGTCATAGGTCGAGGGTCGAGGGTCATACGTCGAGGGTCAAAAGTCGAGGTCGAGGGTCAAAAGTCGAGGGTTGAAAGTCGAAAATACTAAACTTTTATCCATTTTAAAAGTTTTACAACCATTAAACGCGGCAAAACAATATTAGTTTCGCCTATGGCTATGCCGTATGGCTATGTACTGTATAACTAAAAGTTTCGCTTGTGGAACTAAAAGTCGAGGTTTGATGCATGTTTGAAAGCATACATCTTTTATTTTACATTGGAGTTTAAAATATACAAACACGGACGATTATACAAAAATGGCGTTTCACTCTCATGAGAAATTTGATTATAGGTATAAATATGTTATCTCTTGGAGGCGAAAGAGTTCTGAAATTCTCAGAACTTCATCTTAACGATACTCCTCATACCGCGTATGGTTTTGGAGGTTTAAAGCGTTAGGATGTGCGAGAAACAGTTGATATTTATATATTTTATAACATCATGTCTGCACCGGAAGTGCACATGTTCGATTGACAGTTTCATATTCATAATATAGTTGCGAGAACGTTGTAGTGTAATAAAATGGAAACTTTCTTTAGTTATTCTGTCAAAAATAACATGCACGAAGCACGAATCTTTATAACAGGGTGATTTTAGTCTGGTTCAGAATTTACGACCATTAATTGTGAGAGATTTTTGCTGCGCTGGGACTCGATTCGTTCTGATAGTACAATAAATAAAATATACTTTCGAATCACCCCACCGGCACCGTACGTTCTCGAATAGTTTTACTGATTAGTAATTTTACACTTTCTCGAAAAACAAAAAGGAACCTAATTATGCCCCAAGGCATGTTCTGTACTAACAGTAATGAAGTTAGTTATCAGGAGAACCTTTACAATTTTGACAACAAATGCCAAAAATGTAGTATTTCCCAAAAAATTAATATTTCCCATTTTCGACCCTTGAATTTCGACCCTCGACTTTTGACCCTCGACCTCTACTTCCGAACCTCGACCTATGACCCTCGACCTATGACCCTCGACATATGACCCTCGACCATTACCCAAACCCAGCCTAGTCCCAGGCTCTCGCGCTGAACGCTGCTCTAAGTGTTTTATACGTTTTATGCCTGGGTGTGCTGTGCCGAGCGCTTCAGCGCGAGAGCCTAGCAGATTTCAGTAAAATGGTCCCTGATTTCAAAAAAGTGGTCCCTGGCCTGGTTACCAAGCATACCCAATTTGTAAATAGAAAATTGAAAGATTTTTTTAAGAAAATGGCTCAAAACGAAGGCTCAAACCTCGGCTCAAACGAAGGTGAGTCAATATGATTTTTAATAAACAGCTTGTTCACCCGCTGTGCCGACTTAATAAAGCTTTATATAAGTTTTCAACACGGATGCACTTGACCTATACTTGACCTTTTTTACATTTTCCTTTGTGTTGACTTCCTTTGTGTGTTTATATTAAGTCATTAGTTTTGCTCTAATGCTCCCGGAACAAAGAAATAGGCTACGTCTCGCTACCATACGGTCAAGCTACATACGACTCGTATTACTACAATATAAAGCCATTGAATGCCGACTAAAAACGCTTTGACAACACATGTTATCCAAATATTTCCAATCTGTCAAGTAGAAAGCGCATTCGGGTACATACTACAGTATATTGGTATAGTGTAGATCACAACTTGTGAGTATATAAATCTTAAACATCAAGGATTATACGACAAAACTGCATGTTTTGAACATTTTACCAATGTTCAGTGTCACACATTTGTATACAATTTTTTAATTGAGCACATTTTTAAATACAGTTTAAATTTGGTTTATATGTATACATCGAATATGATCAACGAACATTGATGTATTTCATCCTTTACTTGTCAATTGTAACCCCCTCCCAACCTTGAGGAAAGGTGGGGGCATATATTTTAATATATCCATATTTAACTGTTACCTGACCCCCTGAGGCAGCCCAACCCATAGGGACAAAATTTTTAAAAAAATCCAAAAATTTTATTGAACAAAATCTATAACTTTATATAAAAATGGCACTAACCTGGCTTGTAATATTTAGGTCAGGCTCAACAGGACAATCCTGTGAGCAGGCTGTATACAATGGCCCCACATAAACAGTTAGTTACGCCTGACCTAATGGGGGATTTGTGGGGCATAATGTGGCCCATATTATGCCTTGCATACCAGGGTTGGGGGTCCATAACAGGAAAATCCCCCCATTAGCCATTAGGTAAGGTGTAACTGTGTAAGTGTCAAAATAGAAAAAATGCCACATTGCCTCATGTCCCCACCTTTTCCCAAGGTTTGGGGGTGGGGGTTACAATTGACAAGTGGAAAAGAGTGTCTGTGTACATGGGACACTTTATTAAATGAATTAATTCCCATTTTAGAAATTAGGGCAAACAAAGGAGATGGAAAAAGAAGTCTATGTTTTACTCCTAGCCCAAATTCAAAAAGGCCACCTGATAAGAGAGCAAAGAACTTAAACTATGATGAAGGTATATATTGATAATTGTTTTTGACCAATTACTATTATTTCTAGGTTGGATAATGAAACAGTTATATAACAACATACATAATTATTATATAAATTATATTATATAGATATACGTCAATCTTTAGCATCAAATTTTGCATATGAAGAAGGCTGTGTCACTGGAGTTGATGATATCCTAGATATTGTACAAAGTGACCTTGGAAGGCCAATACGTCGTGTAGACCTGTATAAAGCAATCAGTGCACTGTTTGGAGAGAAAACTGAAAAGAAATATAGAAAAACAGCTGGCAGTCAATGTGATGGCAAAGATAATAGGAAGAAAATGTATCCTTTCCTATAATTCCCAAATGTCATTTAATGTCATTAAGCTTAATTTCCCACTGACAAAATGTATATTTACTATATTATTATACAGAGTAAGAATCATAAGTGTTACCTTGGGCTCATTGCAGTTTAATTGAATAATCCACTACTATACTTTAAAGTATATTATTTTATAATAGTCATATTTTCTTAACAGCCATAATCAGCCTTACTTATTCAAATATAAGGAATATCCAAGAATCTGAATTAATGCAACAGCAGCAACAAGAACAGGAAAGTTTTACGAACATAGAAGATGTTCTTAATTTACATGCTGTAACTGACAGTGCATTGCGTAATGATCTCCAGAGGTGCATTGATAATGCAATAAGACACATTTCTTCTGAAAATACTGTACTTAAACATGAGCTGCATGAAACAAAGGAACAAGTGAAACAGATGCAAGAAACCCTTGATCAATTGGAAGCCTCTGATTATGAAAGGTCACATGCCATTTGCTCTGCCCTTGGCAATATTACTTCAATGGGCACTGATTATCAGTTGACAAAAATCCAGAAAGAAAAAATAAAAGAAGAAATGAAAACTGTTGATAGCATGCACAATTTGGGTTTGAAAAACATTGAAGAAACAGATGATATTAGCACAATTGTAAATGAGCTTTTTTTTGACCATGTGGCAGATACTGTTGAAAAACAATGCCCTTTGCTGACCCAAGTAATAAAACTTTTGTGTCTTGGAAGACAACCAGGAACAAATACAGGGAAAAAGACTGATAAATTCAAATTTAAATCTGCTCTACATATTTTAAATGCCATTGGAGAGATTCGTTCCCAGAGAACAACTAATGACTTTGCACTGATGTTTGGTTTACTACTTATCAGTTATGGTTGTGGAAAATCAGTCTTGGATGCAGTTTACTCAATTGGCTTATGCAAGAGCTATGATTTTTAGTAAGTATATTTAATGTATATTTATTTATAACCATTGATTTAAAATTTGAATGCCCACTTATATTCTTTGTCAATTTGGTTAGGTGCATGGTTGCAGCTGGTGCTTGAAAACAAGCTGCTACAGATATATCGAATATATATAATGTTTATTCCAAACTTCTTGAATACCTCAATGACAAAGCTATGTATAGCAACTGCATGGTCATACTATGCAAATTCTCATTGCATTACCCACATCTTGATTAATACTAATGGCTCATAAGATTATAGACAAATTAAGTTATTAAATTAAATTATAATTACATGTTGGGTACCGGACAATTCCCATAACTTATTAAATTTATTAAAATTACAAAGTTACCATTTTAGCCTTGATAGTGGTAAATTTTTCTGTGCATAATACAATAAATAAATACACAAAATTTGCGATATTCGCTGGCCTATATTTAATTTTTTAATTTTTTACAACATTTTGCCAGCAAACTTTGCAATTTTTACTAATTCTAACGTCAGTGACGTGCTGGCAGGGGGGGCCGGGGCGCAAAAATGAAAAGGGGGCACCGATCCCGCATCGAGTTTTTAAAGTGGGTGGGAAAAATCGCATTTGAAAAAATATAGTTACTTCCGCCGACTGAAAAGATGTGTTTATATAGGCAGTGGCGGAAAGTTTATAGGCAGCTCTCCTAAATTTCCGACAAAATTTCCGACATACCCCCCCCCCCCATTTGCACTCTAAAAGACTGTTTTTAGCCCTCTTTTAGGTCAAAATTTCCGAAAATTCGTCAATTTTCCGTGAAGGTGGGGGGGCCGCCCCACCAAGATTTCCGCCACTGTTTATAGGCTTATAAATAGACTAAGCGCATAGGCGACAAAGTGATATATTAAATTATACAGACTATCTTGTCTAACCGTATTTGCTAATTTGCTACCTCACGGCTCACACGAAATCGTTCATATAGAAACGTGAACTGTGATCACACGCAATGTCTCATCACCGGAATATTGATCAAGTTTCGAAGCGATCACGGGAATCATGCCCTTTTGTGCTGGTATTATGTCCTTTATTATGCTTCATAAATCACAAGAGCGGCGCAAAATAGATAGTTTAAGTTATGATAATGTAAAGTTGTGTACGCAATTTAGTTGTTTGCGCTAGAAACATCATGAGTAATGTGAGTAATGAAATAATGCTGAAACGCGCCCTTTTGGCAGCCAGACAGGGAAACCTTAAAATGCATATGTGTGGGGTCCGTGTGTTATTGTATAGAAGAGCTGTATGTTGTAATTGTATTCAGATCACTAGATCAGTAGAGAATAGAACTGGGATTAGATTAATCGCTGGAAGCCGTTAGCATTGCATAATATAAGTACTACTACTACTACTAAATTCAAACCAAATTGCAAATTTCGACACGTTATAATGCCGTTTCCTGACCATCAGATTTCTGTCAAATCTCCCCCCAAAGTCCAGGAAATGGCATTTCAGAGACTCTAAATTCAAAAATTTTCCCGGGTGGCCTGCCCCCGGACCCCCCCCCCCTAGACAAACCTCGCACCTGCGACGCTCGTCTCGTGCCAAGCGAAACATTATAGGGGCACCTATTTGTTGATAATGATAGCCCACTGGCCTCCCCAGAAAAATAGTACCCAGCACGCCACTGTCTAACATGCTCTTTCTAGCTGTTGTGATTGATTTCATTCTTATTGCCTAGATCAAAATTTGTTCTACAATGGGAATTGTCTATTGTAATGTTACTCACATAATGAATAATTGTACAGTGCAATATTAGATTTAATTGAAAAAACTGTTTTGTAGTCGTTCATTCCTTCTCAAAAGATTGGAGAAATACAAGACAATTGTTACTGCCCGATTTCCTCAGGACTATCCAGTAATGTTACTATTTGATAATATAAACATTCACAAAGGGAAATCTCGTTACCAAAGGATTAAGCAAAGCATGATTCCAATCATGTGGAATTTTACAGTGAGGGCAATAATGAAACCAAATTTAAAGGAGTGTGAGACATTATGGAAGGATCCAGCAACAGCAACACAGTCACAAGGAACTCTGGCAAACCTTCAAGTTCATCATCTTTTTCTAGGTAAGATAACATTAATATGTTAGTTCCTGGTAACTCTTCTGCAATTTATCACGTGTGCATTACACACTGATAAATTGCTCAGTACTTTTATAATCAGGCGAGTATAACAAGTTTTGTTATATAGTTAGTGTCAAAGTTCAATTGTTTGCCGATTGGTAAAAACCGTATCACGTGGCGGTCCACAAAACGTCATGTTCACTGCATGCTTTGGCGAAGGGGCAACCTATCAACAATGAAACAATTGTTGACCTGTCATTAATAGAATGGGTACAGTGTGCATGTGCGTCAATCGTGAAGTTCCAAAGTTAATTTTATTAAACTTTTTATTAAACTTTTTATTAAACATTTACGGCGTTCCACTTATCTAGTTTTGGTTTCAAATTCGCTGCAATAACCGGTTAATTATTCATACACTTGACACTTACATATATACTATATAACAAAACACTTCTTTAATGAGACATCGGAAAAGCAGTGTGTTTTGTGGCACCTCTACCACAGTTGTTTCCCGAGGCAAACAACGGCGGTCTCGGGTCCACAAAACACACTGTTTCCCTTGGTCTCAGTAAATTAGTGATAATTATTAACCTTTTAATTAGATTCTGAAGAAAATGATGATATCAAGCTTTTGTATGATGAGGCGGCAGACAGAATTATTCTTGACTTGCTAGACTTTGGGATCAATCGCGTTAATATACCTGCAGATTTAGAAAACAAAGGCGAGCAAGAAGTTTCTATTTTACTAAATAATGATTTGAACTCTAATGAAAAACCAAAATGTGAACTCGAAGTTCCGAGAATAAACGAAGAGTATGAGACATCTTATGAAATGAAGGATATTTTTATTCTTCCAATGTCATTGGCTGATGAGGCTTACACATGTGGTGAGGCAATTATTTACCGCCAGTTTTCTAATGACTTAAATCTAAATATAGAAAGGAAAGAAGAATATATCTCCTTTGATGACCGTCGGAAAGAATACGATCTTTCTAATGCACGGGAAAGGTACAAAATGTACAAGGAACTAGAAATTCACGAGCAAGAAATTGCCATGCTTAAAGAAACATTCAGTGCAGAGAAAGAGGTACCAGACAGTACTGATAATGTTCCTTGTAATGAACGCATTACAAAGTACAGACAAATGATCAGAAAACAAGAAAAAGACATGAAAGAACTTGTTGAATTGTTATATGAGGGGGTGCGTGATCAACCAATGCAACAAGCTATATCCTTCATTAAATCTCATAGTGGAATGTGGTCAACCTTTAGGGATAATTACAATCGTTCAGTTCTACATATATTTGTAGAGAGAGGGAACTTAAACGTTGTCGAGTCTCTTCTATTATGTGGTGCACACATCAATGAGGGTGAAGGTTGTGGGGTTACGCCTCTGATGGTTGCAATAATGAATCAGGATATTGATATGATAAAACTGCTACTGAAGTACGAGGCGCGAGTACGGGGTTTATTTCCTGGACATCTTCCAACGCCTGTCCAAATGAGCGAAAGACTGCAGCAGAAAGAAATATCATCAATTTTAAAAACAGTTTTCAAGCAGCAAGAAATGCAAAGTATGTCTCATGCCATAGAATTTTTAAGTATTACTGAAATTGACACAGATATATTATCAGAAAATGGTTGTGGTCATGATCAGATACAGCTTACGCCATCATTATCTAACGAGTCTTCCGAGTTTAGTAACCAACAGGAACATAAAATTAAGAGTCCACGTGACAGAATTATAACAATTGGGGATGTTAAAACAACTGTGACTACACGAGGATTAAAAAATCGTTCTCCTGACGAATTTGGTGTATTTGAGGAAACACCCGGGGACTTTCATGCTTTAGCATATGTCATGGAGTGCCTTGCAAAGATATTTGGGCCAGGAGGCTTTTACTACATTGCTCGTCATATACTGGGAAGACTAAAAGTCACACCAACATCTTTTGAAAATATGTTTAAGGAAGAGAATTATGAACGAAATTATGAGGCGCTCATCAACTTCTATTGGGGACTTGGTCTTGCTTTAGTTAAAAAGTTTGAACAATCCAAATTCTTTCCTGCAAAAGAAATGATACTTGTGTATAAAGAAAAGAATGAGGTGAATGCGCTGATACTAGGTTGTTTTAAAGATTGGATCCAAGATCAGAGCAAAAATGACAAAACATTTGAGTTCTTTTCAACATTCGTAACAGAATACGGTTTGCTCTTGCAAATACATCAAGAAGCCGTTCGTCACGGAAATGGCAAAATCCGGGAGGCATGTTGGATGAAATTATTATGTTTATTTGCATCTTTAAATAAAAAAAACTACAGAGATGAATCTTTTGTTCATATTGTACATTTTACAACGACGTGGCCTCTTGCAATGAGGGAGATGTTCAGGCAGAACTGCTCAATTGCAGTAAAAGAAAGGAAACATCACAACATGGCTATTGACGAGTATGTAGAATCAATGGTTGTAAAACCTATTAAAGAGTATGCGAAGAAGCACACGACATTAAGTATGTTGCAGAAAATAAACATGAACCTTGAATTATTCAAACACATACGACGGGTATATATGAAAGGTTTCAATGTTCATCGAGCTACAGCAAGAAGCAAACCAGACTCATTACCGGATATTGTCAAGACCTGTTGGTTCGTCATGAAGGAGAAATGGTTTGACAATCTTCAAAGAAAAGACATCAAGAAATATGCTCACAATGACAAGAAAATTGTTCTTTCAGATAGTGCTACAGTTGAGAAGAAATTTCAGGATACATTGGGCAAAGGCAAATCATACATAGAAGAAAATTTCAAAGAAATGTTATTGCGGCTTTTTCCAAACACAGATTATATTGACCAATGAAGATTCTCTCTGAAAGGTACAGTATAGTATATGTCATAATAATGCCACATAAATCATTGTTCTCGAACCCATACACATTAGCGCCTAATGACTTCTGATGAGATCGCATCAAAATGAGGCAGGTATAGAACAGGTTCATTTCAAAGTGTGTATTTAAAAATATTAATTTTGAATTTTTAAATTATGTATTGGCCTTTAACGTGCACAAAAACAAGTTTAAAGTTAGAAATTGACCAACGGACTTTAAAGCGACTCGTTTCCAGATCCCGAACGCAGACAAGGCATTATGCATAGTGTGTATAGCATGACAATATAAGGCCCTGTTTACACAGCACCAGATAAATATTCGTGCTGCATGTGAGTTTACAGGGTCCCGTCGAAAACTTTCACGGATATAAACCCATATATGGTCAAAAACATGCACAGATAGGGAGGTCCCGTGTAAACAGAAACCTACCAGCACGATTATTTATCCAAACAAAAATGTATCTGGTGGCGGTGACAACTAAACGGGGCATAAATAATTTTTACTTACTAAAAACAGGTCACCATTACCAGTAGCGTAACACGTTGAAATGTAAATGTGTACGGTAATGTTAACATCCATCTCACACCGTTTTATTAGGTTTGAGTCTTTAATGTGCATTTTATGTTCGTATGTCCACTTAAGACTTCTAAGTACTTCGGACCAAGAGTAAGGTAAACAGTATTTTGGTTTCTTGACGTTGCTGATGGAGGTTGTTCCATGAGTACTTCTTTGTATACTAAGATTCTCAATAGATACTCGCCATATTCAGTTGAGCCAGGTATGACACCATATTCTGGATACTTGTCATGCTCATGTTTTACTTTCTTTCCAGTAATTAATTTGGCAAAATAGTTTAATGTAAAATTTTTCTTTTCAGGGGTAGTCGACGTTCTTTGCACACATAAAATTACCTTCTTAGCGACATCAGTTATATCATTTTCCACAACAGTGTTATTACACTTGCAGATATCACATACGCTGCAATTGGTAATAACTGTTTCATCAAAGTACTTTAGAATCAGTGATCTCCGGCATTCCACATTTTGAAAACACCAGTGCAACATGTTAAGAAAAGATAATTGCTTTCTATCTGCATTTATACTATCGTATTTTCTCATACTAGATATGTTCTTCAGATGAAAAATTTGATTTTGAGGAGTAAAGAAAAGTAGGCACTGTGCAAGAAGTCCATCTCTTCCACCTCTTCCAGTTTCCTGCATATAAGCCTCTAAAGAACTAGGAAATGAATAGTGGACAACTGCTCGCACATTTGGTTTGTTGACTCCAAGCCCAAATGAAGAAGTACAAATTAAACATTGCAAGCTATTGTTTAACCACATTTCTTGTCTTTGATTGCGTATATTGTCCTCAAGTTGGCCATGGTACACTTTACATTTAACTCCCAATGTCTCAAGTTTAGGACAAATGTTCTCACATTCCTTTATTGTTGAGCAATATACAATTGAACATTCCAAGGGCTTAATCATATCAGCGATATAATCGACAGACTTTGATGACTTTTGTTTAACACCATAAACAAGGTTGGATCTGCATACAGAAGATGTAATTATTTTAGGGTTATCAATTCCCAGTATTGAGATACAGTCATCCCTTGTATGCTTAGTTGCTGATGCTGTTAGCATAACAATTGGTACGCTCCTAAAACTTTTCCGTATTATGTCGAGGTTTAAATAAGCACTTCTAAATTCATGCCCCCACTGGCTGACACAATGAACTTCGTCTATAGCGAAAAGTTTCAGTTTTTGTCTGGCATAAAGACTATTTAGGACTTGAAGCAAAATTGTGTCTTGTGTGATGCATTCAGGTGTTGTATACAGAATCTGAAATGGGCAAACTGGTTGTTTAAGTGAATAGTAAATAGACTCCTTCTGACAATTATCCATTGTTCCAAATAAAAAACAGGCATTAATGTTCTTTTCGTAACAAGCCTGAGTTTGGTCCTTAATAAGTGATTTCAGTGGTGACACACAAACAACCAGTCCAGAAGATACAGCCGCAATGATTTGAAATATGAGCGACTTTCCTCCGCCTGTTGGCATTTGCACAAAAACATCTTCACCTTCCAATATTGCCTTGAGTGCATCATACTGTTCATGCTTGAAACAATCATATCCCCAAATTCTCTTTAGAACTGGAATCAAACTGTCAACATTTGTTGGCTGATCAACTAAGTATTGCAAATCGTCAGAATCATCTGTGGAGCTAAAAGTGATTGCCTTTGCAATGCTGTTACAAATTGTGGATGGTTTAACTAGTTCTTGAGGGTCACTGTATATAAAACATTTAACACATTCTACTTGAGGTATGGTGATGCTGCCCAACTTTTCTTTCCATGAGTTGTAAATCTGTGTTTTGTTTGAATCCAGTGAGGTTATAGTAATGCTTGGATAATAAGATTTCCCATACATTGGCAGTAAATCCATAACCAATAAAACATGGGCTGCTTTAGAAGCCACTTCCATAAATGATAAACCTTTCATGACAAACTTGACACCTCCAACGCCTACAACAGAAAATATTTCACCACCAACCTGCAAGTGAGGTAGTTAAAAAATATAAATTATGTAAACCATTGTATGTGTATATAAATATTAAATGATTTTGTGTAAAAACCTATCTTAGCAAATTTTGATCAAGGCTGCTTTAATTTGAAAAACTACAGTATGCTTAAAAATGGGCAATATCAAACCATCAGTTTTTACAGACTCTGAGACACATTGTATATTGAAGTTACAGTAATGAAAGGAATACTCACTAGATGAGTTGAACTTAAGATAATCCGTTTTAACATTGCGTATCCTCTCCTTTCCTTTTTTAAATCCTTCGATGCACTGAGATTACAAGGATCTGCATGGCAGGTGGTATGATGGGAATTGATGTTTTTATACCAAATATCATTATTGGAGCAGTCTGGGTGAGGACATGGAAGCATTACTGAAATATCACCATCTAAATCAAAATAAAAAACAAAGATGATGATTATATATATATATATATATATATATATGTCGGTCACCAGCCATTAGTCAAGCAAAATGGTGATGGCCATCCACTGATTACTCTGATATGGCCATCCACTGATTACTCCGCATTAATTTGAGTATTTCTTCCATTATTGTCCCAAATCTTTTTAACAAATCTGCAATCTTTAACACATGCCAAAAAAGATTCTGCCTGTTGGACAATCACAGAATCTGGCTTCATCACAATCCACGCAATAACAATGTTATCCTCATGTGTTAAGAGAAATAGTTATATATATATAAGTAAGTTGTCGTTGACTTTTGGTAGTTGTGACGGTTTTCGTTTATATTACTTTGACAACTGGCAACGTCCCTATTGAGAATAATTATGTGTCGGATAATGTCTGACCAAAACATGGGTTGGTCTGACACAATGTCAGACCAAGTTTTCAGAATTATATTGAACTCTGGTTAACATACCTGAGATTTGAGGAAGTAGACAGTTCTTTTCCACCAAGGGAACAAAGTGGTTTGGCTTAAAGTTAACCAAATCCTGCATGGAAACTTTACCACATTTTGCCCAAAATACAGATACATGTGGCTGCTTTTCCTTACATACACGAGGCATTAGTATGCCGTGAAAGAAAGCCCGAATCTGAACACAAAAAAAACATTTATTTATAAACCATTACAGTCAAACCAGATGTTTTGTTGCGAGCAACATTGCAATATTGTCCCACAAAATTGCAATTTTGATAGACAGATTGCCCTGAGCAATCGCAAGTTGCAAGTTGAAATTCACAAATGATTTGTAAACAAAGTATATGATTGGACTATAAGAAAAAGGGAAGCTCCAATCCAGTGGCTCAGACTATTTGATTGGATTCCTTTTTGCTAATAGTCCAATCAGAGGCTTTATTTACAACTCGTTCGTGAATTTCAACTTGCAATTTGTTCGCATTGTTTGCAAAATTGCAATATTGTGGGACAATATTGTGCACAATGTTACTCACAATAGAACATACTGGTTTGACTGTAACTTAAACAATTGTATAAACATTGTTATTTATTGCATATTGCATTTGTTTCCATACAGGGGTATTGAGGACATACATTTTAGGAGACTTCCTATAAATTTTGTAAAACTTAAATAGCCATGGAAATGTTCTATTTTCCAAGGCCCCGTGGAAATATTTTAGGCAGCCCATGGATTTTCATAATTTTCACACTACACCCCCTGTATTAAATTGGATAGTTTGCCCGCCTCCATGGCCTCATCAGATTTCCAATAGCAACTTTTCTATACATTGTAACTGGAATTTCCAGTATCTTCAGTCCCTTAGGTTTTGTGTTTAATTAAAATGCTACTTAGTATTTGCCAATAAAAATTGCTTTTAAAAGTCTATACTAACGTTTGGTGTTGTTTCAGGATAAACACTCATAATTTTTCTCCTGATGATGGAACCAAGTGCTAACAATTGCAAGACACCACTGTCGGACGAAGGTTTGCAAGTTGAAATGATCTCCTCTTGATAAATAGCTTCCAACAAAGAACGATCATTCGCAATGTCTTCAAAATGGCTGCCAGTATCTTTTAAGTGTTTCTTTTGTGCAGACATTTTACGAAATATGTCTTCATCAGACATATAAAATTCGATAAATAAAGCCAGTTCAACAACACAACGTACCCTCAATTCGGTGTGCATATCTTCATTTCCAGAAACAAGAATGGAAAAGGAGCGGAAGCACGAACTATCGGCCGATGTTTCTAACGCGACACAATCTGATGAAGAGGGCAAATATTGTTGCGAATTAAAATCCACAGTGAATTTGGAATAGTCTGGCACTTTCCATTTAAAAACACCAATTGTCTCCATAATTTCTGCGCAAAAATTTTTAAATTCTGCCCAACTTTTTGTCGAAACGTTTTCCAAGTCCTCAAGGATGCACTTATACATATCCGCCATATTGAAAATACTGAAATCTGCTAGGCGTTCTGAAGCACCTTGAGCTGTGACGTCACACTTAGGTCCCAGTCTCATACCACATCCGCGTATCCGCGTTTGCTTCAGAACGACTGGGACTAAGTAGTATAGGAACTAGCGTGTCTAGACCACTAGCTTTTGCGACCATTTTTCTGTGAACGGAAATCCGTCTGGCTCAATCTGAATTTTTTAATTATAAATTTATTTTCTAGACCATATTGGTTTTTTAAGCGCTAGATTTTCTAACAAAATTAAAACGATTCACTTCTCTCAAATCTTCAAATTTCAACTCCACCAATTTCATTCAATTCCTCTATTCCAGAGCCTATTCAACATCTTTTATTTCACTCCTGAGGGTACACACACCCTTCCATTAAAGCTTTTCAATCAACGCTGGAACAACTACCTTCCATATACCATTGCCATGTTTAATAGAGCTTTTATGCGATCTCCAGCTTCCCGCGGTAATATCTCCTCATTGTTCCTAGTCCATAGAAGTCCACTAGCGTCCTTCGAAGGGGGCATAATTTTCTACACTTATTTCTTACCCTTTCTATTATCATCCGATCTGCTTCCTCTTGGGTAAATTCTCCGGGTAGCCTTCTAACTCTTATCAGTTCATTTACAGGTTCAGCTTTACATTTAACTGCTTCCTTCATTGTTAGGTAGTGTCCGTAAGCATAACTGGTAACTCCATCCTCCAAGATATACCTTTTATCATCAAAGCAACTTAGAGTGACCTTCCTCATTTCGTAAGTTCCAATTGTATGCTTGATGCTCCTGATTGTATTTATATTATGTCTCATCCTACCTTTCGTACTAATTACATTCTTGAAGTTCTCGTGAGTGAGCTTATTTCTAATGACATACTTTTTGACTCCTTTAGCGGTCATTCCACCTCCACCGTTTTCCTTCACATATGAGTACATCTTAGACCTTAACCCGACAAACTCAATTATGGGTACTCCTTCAGCTTCGTCCTTAAACTTACCTATGACCTTCTTGTTATGAGTTGAGTAATATGGAGAATCTTTTGGGTAATCTGAATTATCCCAACAGTCTTGCTCTTTACCGATCCTCTTGAAGTCCTCGTAAACATCATCCGTCTTTATTTCATACATCAAGCTGTCGGTATCGGTGAACAGTAGCCTTGACCTGTTACCGTACTCCTTCTTAATTGTGTTGTAGTGGAAATCATACATTAAAGTCTTGGATAAGTCTAAGATGCTCATTCCTACATAGCACGGTTTATTTAGCGTTAGAACTTCCTTCATTCTTTTTACAACTATAAGGTTCTCATTCATGATTCGATGTGACTGGAAGCAGGGTGATGCTGTCAGTTTTAGGAGGTCGTCTTTTGAGGACACTAATTTCACATCAACTCCTTTCCTTAGATTTTCCATTGTTTTTCCATAAATCGAATTATTCATTAGCTTGAAGAAGTTCTTTTCGAACGTGTTACGAGCTACTGATCTTTTCTTCGTATTGAAGTCAATATAGTTCTTAAGCCAGGGAGACTGTTTAAATGTAACCGCTCTATGAACCTTTGTGAGTTTCATTCCAAGGTCTGTATAGAGTTTCAGATTACGTACATGTAGGACGTAGTTTTTCCTGGGTCCTAGTGAGTTTACCAGTTTTCTTACTCCTCCAATTGTCAGCTGGAATTTCTCAGCAATACTCTTAGCGTAATCTGACAACATTGAAGAACTAATTTCTTTACTCTCCGGTGCTAGAGGATAACCGTTATGCAAGCCGTGAAGTTCTTTGGGATATTCCATGTCAACCTCTAAAACCATCCCTCTTTCGTTGTCTCCTAGGTAATCATCTAGATTCATACCATCAACTTCCTCGACCCACTCGAACTCTCCATTAGGTAGTGGTTGTGACATCGCCCAACCATATAAATTGTTAGCGTCGAGGTACATCAAGTACTTGTTTTCAGACGACTCATCGTACGTCTCCATGTACTTATTATTAGCTGTGGAGTGTCTGTGGGCAATATGACTTATACCACCTCTCATACCCTTCTCAAAGAACTGGAACATATCCATATCACTTACAAGTTCTATTTCCTCACCTGACTGTTTCAGAAAGGCGTCCCAACTTAGACTAGGTGCTAACATGTAATGTGCAGGGTCAAGTTTGTAATTTTCCAGACATGTTCTCCTGAAGTTTTCAAATACATCAGCTAACAAAAGAACGTCAGTCTCCAGGTAGAGATCGTGGTAGTCTCTCATGGTTTTCATCCCAAAGTGATCCCATACTTTCCTAGCTCTTTGGTAATCTTCTTCCTTCACCTTTGACTCATACAGTGACGAGTAAAACTTATCTCTACTAGGAAGACCCTCTGTATTGAGTTTACTAATGTCATCCAGAAATTCATATGGAAAGACTCCTTTTTGTGTTACTAAATTGAAGTCCTCACCCTTCCACCTCTTACCTACTATTTTAAAGTCCTCAGGTGAAAGGTTACTCACCAGTGCTTCCAGTGAAGAAGCCATGAACTGTATAGAGTCTATGAAGACAAGATTTTTACCCAGTGAGAATGAAATATATTTTTCCATATTATTTGGGATCACGTTAATGTTCATCTTGAACTTACCAATTTCCTGCATAATTAGATGACTATCATAACCTCTCAGATTGTGGAAGACCACAGGTACTTTCCATGTAATTCTGTATTTCAGGTTGCATATATTATGAGCAGCTCCACGGTACATTCCTGTTACATGATCATGGTCCCTTACTCTGTCCTCACCAAGATCGTTACCACATATTGAACAGTTTCTTGCCTTCCAGAACTCAGCTTCTTCTTCAGGTGTAATTACCATCTTTTTCTTGAATATATTGTTAACCATCTCTCTACATCTGAAGGACTCTATTAATACAGTCTTTAGGAAGACCAGTGCAGCATCCTCTCCAACGTAACTCTTATACTCGCCAGAGTACTTATCATCATAATGGCAGACAGTCTTTAGACCAAAACTACAAGCCTTGTGTGTCTGGTAAAGGTCTGTACTACTTTTGTCCTCAGGGTTTTCTGACTCCACTTTTCTCTCCTCTGGTACCAGTATTGACTCAAAATCAGCGTATATCACGAACGGCACAGGCATCGAGTTCCTGTGATTTTTGAACTTTATTTTTGTACCTTCCTTGGGAAGCTTTACAGCCTGAGTTCCATTTACCTCCAGACATGCCTCCTTATGCTTCTCCAGTACCTCTTTACTCACACAACTATGAAGACAGTGTAAACAAAAGTGTTTCTTGTGTGTGTATCCACTTACGCTGAAAAGCATTCTGTTTACGTCCTTTATGAGCACATAGTGGTTGTTACCTTCACCGTCACCTAGTAGTAGAAGCTCCATATGCTCATCATATTTAGCCTTGGAGTTTCTTATAGGATAGAACTGCTTTTTACCCTTATAACCGAACACTGATATATTTATACTGTTTTTTCTCTCAATTTTATCAATATCACTTATCTTCACAGGGAATTCTATATCCTTATAATCCAGGTTGTCTACGAACTCCCTATCCTTCCGTGTAATAGTAGTTGCTCTTCTAACCTTAGGATTTAGATGTCTCACATGACTCCACAGGAAACACATATTGTCGTTGTTCTTCATATTGATTAGCCCACACTTTGGATTACTAATGTCCCCAGGTAGTTTCATATATGAACTACCCTTCAGAGGTTTGTACATTGCAATGTTCACGTAATGGCTCTCAATATTGAGAATAATCCAATTTGAACCTAAGTTTTGGAAGGTTTCAATTCTAGACAATATTGTCAGTTGGTTTTGAGCAGCTGTACTTTCAATATCCTCGAAGTTAGTTGCAGTGCCAGTTTTAGACTTGAAGTAGATTGAGTCCTTCTTTGTTTTACCGTTACCTATCTCCTTCGACATTCTCACCTTTATTGTCTCCGTGTACTTCAACCCTCCCATTCTCTTCAATTCGTTCACAAGTATTCCTCTCACTACCTGTCTACTTGCAGTTAACTGATTCAGGGGGTCCATATAATGAGGAGTTATTGAGTAAGTTACAGCAGCTCCATTTGCGGCTGTTTCAATTTTTCTGTGGAATGGCTTTTCAAGGTAAGTTCCAAATGGGTCTATTTCGTGTTCCTCTGGTGTAACCACTATAGGCTGTTCCTTGGCTTCCCTCGACACTCTTACAGGCTTGCGGACCTTAGGAGGAGACACTGGTTTTTTAGTTCTTGGTTTCGGTACAGGTCTTTCCTTAGGAAGTACCGTTCTGGGTTTCGGTACAGGTCTTTCCCTAGGAGGAAGTCTAGTTCTGGGTTTAGGTGTCGGTCTCCATGGAGCTACACCCTTAGGCACTTCAGGAGCTTTCCTTGTGGGTTTCTTATTAAGATCCACACTGATCGTAAACTTACCTGGACCTGTTGGAGTTATAATACTGTTTGCAGGCACCGAGAGTTTTATCCTATTTTGACTCAGGAATCTTTCCGCGACAGTTTGTCTTCTAACCTTGGGCTTTTGTTGTATAACATCAACCTTAGGCTTTGGTGGTCTACCTTTTCTTTTGGGAACCTTAACTTCACCATCAACCTTAGGCTTTGGTGGTCTACCTTTTCTTTTGGGGACCTTAACTTCACCATCAACCTTAGGCTTTGGTGGTCTACCTCTCTTTTTAGGAACCTTAACTTCACCATCAACCTTAGGCTTTGGTGGTCCACCTCTGGGACGCTTAGAATTCCTCTCATTTTCAATTCTCCTAATTTCCGCATTCACCTGAGGATCATCTGTGCGCCATCTACCTCCCATTGTTGGTGGTAACCCCTTAACTCCCCTTGCTAGTAGACTTTGGTATGCCTCCTCTACGAGTAAGGCCTTAGCCTTTTGTCTTTCAGAGTACTTCCATGTTGGCATAATTCCTCTTCTACCCTTATAGTTCAAAGGAAGACGTCTTGGTTTCTTTACCTCCATATCACGGTCAACTTCATCTACGAATTGTCTTTCTCCTTCAAAGGTATCTTTGCCCTTATCACTAGGTGCAATTCTGTAGGTTTTGTCCTCCATGATGTTCTCTACTCTTTCATCAATCTCGTTATCACTGTCTATGATACTATTGAGAGCCATAAGCTGTTCTACGCTGAATTCGTTCATGTCAAAATAACTCGCCATATTTTTCAACTGTTCCTCTATACTATATGTGTAAAAATAAATTGGGGTATTTAATTAATAATTTATTTCGAATTTATTTTTAATTTATTCTTTAGATTAATTTATTATATTAATATTTCTTTAAGTCTTTTATTTAATTTATTATATTAATATTTCTTTAAGTCTTTTATTTAATTTATTATATTAATATTTCTTTAAGTCTTTTATTTAATTTATTATATTAATATTTCTTTAAGTATTTTATTTAGTTTATTGTATTGATATTTCTTTAAGTATTTTAATTTATTTAATTTATTGTATTGATATTTATTTAAGTATTTTAATTAATTTATTATATTAATATTTCTTTAAGTATTTTATTTAATTTATTATATTAATATTTCTTTAAGTATTTTTACTTTTCCAGTTATTATAATATTTACATTTCTCAGGTTTCCATCCAAGCTCAACAAAAACTTTCCCATACAATCTGTCCTCAAGGATGTCCACAATTCTTTGAGTCTTAATGTCCTCGGGAGGGTTTCTCAATGTAATACCATTCATGCTGGCTATTCTCAGTAGGTAAAGCTTGTATCTAACTATGTTGCGCCCCCTTTGCAGTCTAAGTCTTTGTATACATCTTACAATGCTTCTGAACTGCTCCCTTATGGTGTCCCTATCCCTAGAAGCAACATGTTCGAACAGGTGTCTCTCAAACCAACGGACTCTGTTGTGGCAAGACTTTTTCTTCAGGTAGTCATCCTTGTTGTGGTTGTAACTAACGTAGTATGTGAAGTTATTCATATCACTTGTACCACACTGTGTGCATGTATTTGCTCCATCTATCATTACAATAGACTTACTTCCACATTCGCTACATACTGGATCATATGTGTGTTTTATCTTTATTCTACTCTCTGCGTGCTTCCTCACAGCAGCCTCTAACTCTTCCAGTGTATTTACCCTTTTACCTACATGTGCTATCTCCTCAGGTGTTGCCATCTGTAACCATTCCATTTCCCTATACTATATATGTGAAAATTTTTGTGGCATTTTTTATAGCATTAAATAAGCTGCCCCTCCAACCACCCCACCTGTAATTAAACCAAAAATTGTCATATATTCTTCCATTTCAGAGCTAGGTTTGTAGTGATTACTTAATTGCGGCTTCCTTGGCATAGGCTTATGTGTTAACTCATCGATTCTTCTAACGAGTTCCAGTGACTGGTTTGTTGAATTAATATCCTTATTTGCCTCAGCTAGTTCTGACTTTAGTTGCGCAATTCTATTTCTTCTATCAGTGACTTCTTCAAGGTACTTCTCTCTTTCAGCTGTTAGGTTCTCCATTGCAAGGTTATGTCTCTTAGCTTCCTCAGCATATCCATTGTTGTCAAACATTTTAAATAGGTATCCTGCTCCTGCAAATGCAAATGCGTTAAAGAGTCCTCCTGCTACTGCTCCAGCCATTGTATAGTCTTACCTAGGTTTTGAATGGATCATCTGGTAGATACTTCTTTTCTTTCAAGTAAGAGACCAGTAGAGATGAAAGACTAACTGAAATAGCTAACTTTGCCATTCCTTTTACGTTCTCTGGGGTACCTAATGGTTCTTTCAGTAGTTTTTTCGATGCCATTGATATACCAACTGCTCCTGCTGTAAGTAACACTGCATTGTACACTTCCATAGTCATCTTTGATTCTTTACTCATCTTGCTATAATATATGGTATGTTTAATGTATCATTCAAGTGAATCTAAATTGGACTCATCAGCTTTCCTAGTTACTTCTACAGTTTCAGGGATGTACTTAGGTTCCAGTTCCCTTGTTTCCCTCTGATGCGACTTATATGCTAGCACAAGAGATATCAATGCAATGGCCACTCCTATGTAGGTAATCATACTGTCATTACTAGATGACTCCCCAGGTTCAGCCAGTTTCTTTTTTTTCTCCTTTGCTATTTTACTGATTGCAGCTAATCGTTTTCCTGCAGCTACTCTTCTTGGGTCCTTCTTCTTTTCGCTTGTTACTGGTATTGAATTTGCTCAGGTTTATCTTCCATTCTACTTGTAAGATACCTTAGGTTTAACTGGGTTTCGTCTTATGAGATATCTTTAATTCTACTTACAAGATAACTTAAATTTACTTGTAAGATGTCTCAATTCTACTTGCAAGATAACTTAAATCTACTGGTAAGATAACTGGTGAGATAACTTAAATCTACTGGTAAGATGTCTCAAATCTACTTGAAAGTATGATGCCACTAAACTAGTACTTGTGTGATTTGAACTTTGGTTTGTACAGCTTTACGTCACAAACTGTATTTTTCGCTGCAACTTTCCTTACCCTTTTCTTGAGTGAGAAGTACTCGTTAATTCTAATACAAGTTTTCACTAGGTCGTCTGATATCATTGTTGCGTATCCTATTCCCCTCAGTTTTTCAAACCATATCTCTTGCTTCTCACTTGTAATCCCGGTGCCGTTAGGAGACTTAAATTCAATGGCGAATCCTTTATACTTATCCCATAGGATTCTCTATAATAAGATCAGGCTGGCCACCTTTATAGCCCTTCTTCCAGGCATCACATCTTTTTGGTACCGTATCCTGATACTCACCAAGACCAGGTACTATTACAGCCTCTGGGTGGTTATTCCTAATGTAACTCACAACTGTATTATGAAGGTCCGTTTCGTTTATGAGGATCATCTGGTTATGTCTGAGTGACCTTCTATTTGGTAATTCATATGAGCCTGTTTTACGGATAGATGGCAGGACTTCCTTGAATACCCAATCCTGAAAGTCCTTCGCTATTGGAAGTCTTGAGGTACATATTAGTTGATACAAACCAGGTTCATATAGCAGGATCATTTGTGGGTGACATTTTTTGAAGGGAGACAAATCGCCTCCCTTGCGTAGCTCGTATACGCTTACCTTATTTTGCTTCCTAACAAGTTTCTGGACTGCCCTCTTCGTATCAGCGTACCCTAAGGACTCTGCCACGTCTTTTGCATAGAAGAGTACCTCACCGCCCCACCTCACGGTTCTTACACTAACATTCAACTCCTGGTTTCTGAAAAGTTTTTCCATCTTTCCCTATACTATATATGCAAAAATTTTTATGGCTATTTTATTTTGATTTATGGAGTAGTATTCCCTCTACCCACCCAACTACTCCTCGTTAATGTTTGCTTCCTGGTTTAAAAATATTACATTTCATATAGTTTCTTGTATATCTTTACAACTGTTTTAACCATATCATCTTTGAACGTCTGGTAGTCATGCTGGAGTGGTCCCACAACTTTATCCTTGAGGGAGTACAGGTCCTTCTCTATTGAGTCCAGTGTTGCCTTGTTCTTCTTGAGTAAGCTTTCTGTTGAATCAAGTGCTGCCTGAATTTCGTCTAGCTGCTCCTTGTTCCCGTCGGTCTTCTCAATTAACTCGTTAATTATGTCTTCAAACTCTGTTCCGTCCCAGGCGTTTCCCCAGTCGTAGGGCTCTCCGAGTTGCGACATTCTTCTGTATTTAATAAGATATGTTTAGCTTCCTCAGATATTTCTTCCTTCTTACTCCACTTATGGGCAACTACATGCTTGGCTGTTGTACAGCCACCGGATATGAGCCCTATGAATGGAATGTTGGGAGATATCGTTCTGGTTAGATACGCTACGTCGTCCCTTAAAAGCTTATCGCTAAGTAGTTCCTCTGACAGCTTCTCTGAAGATTCCACCGCACCAAAACTCCCCAGTATAGAAGCAAACTTTGAAATTATAAGTGTTGATAAGAAGTCACTTGCACATGACATCCTCTGACTTTCATACTCATGGTATAGTCTATCTACAACATCCTTGTTAGACTTTCTTATAAAACTTGCGGGCTTCCCTATTATACCATCCCTAGATAGCTCTATAAGTTTGTCTCTTTTGTGTTCAGTTTGCGACTTATCAGCGGTAGACTTAGTTTTTCTTGCTTTTTTCTGCGGCACCTTTGCGGCCTCCTCTACTTCTCTTACAGCCTCAAATATTTCTTCATCAGATTTAGTTCCCATCATCTATATTTTACGCGGTGTTTAGTTTAACAGTGTATGTGTAAGGGTGAATAAGTAGTACATCCAGTGCGGTGAACTTCTCATCTTTTAATATCTTCGTAATCCCTGTTATCGCCTCCTGAGGAACACCACTTAGGTAATCATCTGTTATGACCTTCATATCTTTGCGACTAGGGTTGTAAAATGTAAATAACCTGGAAATGTTCTCTCTAAATGGTTTTGCTACTGATGACAATTGTTGGGTAAGTACAATGACAGATATGTTGTAATGTCTTGCGGAGAATGCTAGACGTACCAGTTCTGAGACTCTTTTCTTTACATCTTGACTTGCCGCACAATCGTCCACTATAATGAGAGTTTGAGTACCGCGGAATATGGTGGACACTGCCTTGAGAACAAGATTGATCATTTCTTGTGAGCATGGAATCTGAATAACTCCGTGATCACTAATATGAGCCCAATTAATGTAAGTCATATTCCACTCTATTGTTGGACATATAATGACAATGTAATCGAATACTCTATTGTACTCTGTTTCTAGCATATTAAGTAGGAACTGAGTTTTGCCACTTCCAGTCATTCCTACTATGAGCATGTTGAATGGTTGCATCTCTATGCTTTACCGTTAGTATTGAATACTTGATAGATCTCTATTGGCAAAGTTAAGGAGAGCATCTGATACAATAAAAATGTTGCACTGAACGTCAGCTGTTGTGGCTCTCTTTTTGATTTCCAGGAGTACTCCCGACTGTGTATTAACAATCTTCTTACCTCCACCAGTGGTATCATCTTGTGTTGACCTTAGGTCGATTACTAGAGCAAAACCATTGGTGAAGAACTTGCTGATGGACATAAACTCGTCTGCCATGGATTTCTCACACATAGGGCAGAAAAATCTTTTGCCTCTTCGAAGAACCTATTTTTATGAAGTCCTTGGGAGAAGACTGCATTAGGCACACCCTCAATGGTCAGGTTCACTTTATCAATGTTTGGGTAAATATATTCTTCAGAATCAGTTCTCACTCTATTGGTAAATAGAAGGACAATTGCTGACATGCTCTTCCTGGGGATATTTATGTTCTCATTGACAATGGTAAGATCTTTGTCCCAATTACTCGTACGCATAAGTGTAACATGTTTGTAGGACAGTGAGCGGCCTGTTGAATACATCCTTGATACTTCACTCGCAAGGGTGTCATTCTCAATGGTCTCGTATTCTAGCTCAAGATTGTCCAGTTTATAATTACCCTTAGCTTCACCTCCTTGGGCAGTCATAATCTCATCTGATTGCGGGAGTGTGAGGATGTACATAGGATTGTTATTCATGGAGAACGGTGTGTAGAGTCCATGGTCTGCGATTATTTTATCAATTGGTTTTCCCAGCTTAGAACCGTACACACTGTGGAGGAGTGCATCTGCTACTTTATTGGCATCACCAACTTTTGCTCCTGAGTCATCACCTGATATCAGCTTCCTGAGATTCTCACTTGCAAGACCCTGTTCTGTCATCTTATTTCTGTCGCCAACAGTTAGCCATAGATCTTTGTATATTTCATACAAACTCTCTCCTGAACAATCATAAGCTGTTTCACCTGCTACTTTAATCTGAAGACGCTTAGCTATCAACTTAGACAGGTTGTTATTAAAGCGGCTTTTTGTATTGGAATTTTTAAAGTCAAATAATAGTGCAAACGATCCTGGGACTAGGCAAGAGTCAGGCTTTAGTTTGGGGATGTTAATGTACAGCTCTTCACCTGGGCTAATAGTTGTTGGATTAAATGTTACAACACTTCTAGTTCTTGGACCTTTTACGGATGTCATACGACTTCTCCTGAAGCCTGGCTGGAGTTCTCTTTCTGTGGTATTTATACTTTATACAATATGTAATGTTTAGTTGTATTTGTATAGTAAAATTATTCCTGTAGCTGTAGCTACCACCCATAAGTTTGATGATATGAATTTAATCAGTTTGCTTGCTATATCAGGGAGTGGCCTGGGTGAAGAATCTGCACCTCTATGTGTAGAGTTTGCTGCCATTGAGGATATTTTTCTAGTCTGTATGATAATAGCTGTAAGGAGAGCAGCAACTGACACTATAATACTTGCAAGCACAATTCCGAAGTTATTCTCAACCCATGATTTGAATCTTTCATACCTCGTTAGATCTTCCCTAACATCCTTCAACATGATTTCTGTACTATCACCGCTAAATATAGGTTGATCATCTTCCGGGATAGTATCCTCTGCGACCTGGAATAGGAGGTTCTCAAAGTTGAAAGTATCCTCTAGCCATTCAGTGTCTACCCCAGGTAAAGGCTCCTCGGTCTTCTTACCTCTTTTGGTCTTCTTGGGTTCCCCAGGTTTAGGTTTCTTAGGTTCTTTACCTCTGTAAGGCTTTTTGGGTTCCTCAGGTTGAGGCTTCTTAGGTTCTTCCTTAGGTTTAGACTTTTCTTTTTCCCATTCTTCGAGCTTCTTTTCCCAGTACTCTGTTTTCTCCTTATCACCTTTTACAGATTCCTGGCGTCTTTTAATCTCGTCTCCTTTACGCTCAAACTCAGCTTTTCTCTGACGTTCAGCAGCTTCTTCTGCAAGCCTTTTTCTTTCTAGCTCGGCAGCCTTCCTGCGGTCTTCTTCCTCCTTCTTTCTAGCTTCTTCTTTCCTGCGTTCTTCTTCCTCTGCTTCCAGCTCTTCCTCGGGCTCATTAGGATTGAAACCTAGGTTTTCCATAATACCCTTCAATCTGTCTATTTTTTCCGAGTAGTCAATCCTTCTAACTTCAGCCTTGGCTATTCTCCTAAGTACAACTAATGTTTTTACCTCTTCCTTGAGAGTACTATGGGTTGCATTTAGATAGGCCTCGGTTTCTGAATTCTTTAAGGTCTTCATTCTTCTTAGCCGACTTACGTATTCAATTTCTCTTTTAATATCTTCTTTCTCGTCCGACTGCTCCGTTCCCGTTACCCTCCTTCGGAGAACTTCTATTTCAGAGTCCATATCTTCAGGATTCATTTCCCTATAGCCAGGATATAATTTATCCATCTCATCTAGGTTCTCAGTTCCCAGGTCTCCTTCCCATATCCCAGAGTATTCACTATTGTATTCATCAAGAATAGTACTTACTCTATCCATCCATGCTGCCTTGTATTCTACACTTTCAGCCATTATTATACTTTACTTACTGTAATTATTGTATACCATTAAGGCTGCAGCTATAGCTAATACCCATAAGTGTGACGCTAACCAGCTAATTCCTTTGGCTCCCCATGATAGCGCTGTTGCAATTGCGTTCAGGATTGGAACTAGAATTGGTCCTGCTTTCTTTGCTAAATTTGCTAATGCTTTTGCTACTTTACCAGTGGCCTTTGCTGTCTTCACAATGGCTCCCCTAGCATGGATTAATAAGGCTGTAATTAAACTAGCGGTTGACACTGCTATCCCTACAAGTCCCACTTTTTCCTTTCCTACCCAGTCTATAAATCTGCGTAATCTAGAAATATCTTCCAACTGTGCCTCTCTTGCTTCCTCTACAGTTCTTTGCTCTAGTGTCCGATCTCTAGCTTCCTTCAAACTGTTAATTCTTTCTATAAGGGAATTGTACTCAGTTGTACCTTCCACAGATGTGGCTCGTTTCACGGTTTCACCAATAGCTTCATTAAAGTAGTCAGCCTGAACCTGTAACGCTCCGTTGGGACCTGTTCTGCCTTCTATGCTTGATCCATCAGGTAGGTTAAGAACACCTCTCAGTTCATTGTTTTCTTGCATTGTTAGCCCTGGAAGATCTCCTAATTTTGCACCTATGTCTATTAACTCAATGTTCTCACGGTTAGCGTATTCCTCACTACTTTCATCAAATTGCGGCTCTTCTCTGGTATCCTCATCACTTCCAATTATATTGTCAGGATTCGTAGGTACCTCTTTTATTTTCTTTAGAAGGTTCTTATATTCTCTCAGAGCAGGTGAGTCCTTTGAGTACACTAGATTCTTGGTCTTACCACGTTTCATTATTTGTGTCCCACTTTTGTCAATACCTTGTTCACTTCTAAATACCAACACCTCTGTGCCATCCTTGAGTGTTCTTACAGATGATCGCTTGATGAGTTCCCTGACATATCTATTCCTAGGGTCTAGTATTAGTCCCTCCTTACCTTTAATAACTCTTGTGACAGCTTGAACACGCTCTACTTGGTTTTCGAAATCTCTCTTTTTATTTGCTGTTGAAATCTTATTTAGTTTCTCTAGGCGGGCTTCTATTTCGTCCCAGTCAGTGTCAAATGATTCGTTGAATGCATCTAGAACATCTGGAAGTACATTGTTTGGATCTTCCACAAAGTTGACTTCTGGGACGGTTGTACTTCCTGATGGTCCTGAAATGTTCACTGTACCATCATTTCCTCCAGTAAATGTTGTTTCCTGCTATTTAAGTCTTGCAATTTCCTCCAAGGATTCTTTAATTCTGTTGACTATTTCTCGTGACCTCATGAGATTCCTTACATAGTCCAGTTCACTTTTAAGATTGGTTATCACTATAGGGTCATCACCATACATAGCCTCTCCCCTCACCCTTGTATCTAACCTACTAAAAGCTGTCGTTAGGTCATCATAATTGAGGTCGTCATATTGAGGATACGTCTTTTCTGTCTCCTCCAACTCAATGTCATCGTAGTCCTCCATAATACTTTAACTTATGTTAGGGACTTGATGTCTCCAGCTGGTATCCAACTGTTAAATTTGTCGTCATAACCTAACCACTTAACTAGGGCCATCTTTTTACCCTTCACTGTTCTTCTTCTTAGTACTTTCTCTATTCTGAAATCAGGTTCTCTTCCTTCAGCGCTATACAGTTCTTGTTCATAGAATCTACCAATTATTGGTTCATCAGCACTGTCTTTTATTGTATACGTGTTTGGATGACCGTGATACACTTCCGTCACAGTGAACAACTCCTCTGTGAAATTTGCTTCGTACCCTTTTGTGAACACTGATTTGTACTTCGAGATCCTGACACTTTCTCCGACAGCAAACTTTGGTTCCGACGGCTTGCCTAAATTGTGACTAAAAAGTGTCTTCCATACTTCAGTCCAGTTGGACTCATTTACACTGTCCGGACTTGTTTTAATTGATCTGTTCACTGAACTGTTGTAATTATCAGTTAAGTCTTGAAGGACGTCTAACCATTTATATGTACTGGCACTGTAGAAGTACTTCCACATTAGAGCTTTCAGTGTTCTGTTAAATCTTTCCACAACTGCGGCCTTTTTATCTGAGTAAGTAGAGAAAAATTCAATGTTATGTTTATTGAGCAATGACTTTACTTCTCTGTTATAGAACTCTGTACCCTGATCAAACTGGGCGAATTTTGGGTATTTACCAAAACGATTATTAAATTGCTCTAAAATGTTACTAACTGCGTCCTTCATTGATGTCGCGTTTTTCCTATTCACTGGTACTGTGAATGCGTACCTACTCAGTATTTCAATGGATGTGAGAATCCAGCGGTATCCCTTGTTCTTGTCGTCATATTTTGTCATATCAACTAAATCCATTTGTAACTGTTCACCTAAAGTTTGGACGTACGTCTGTCTGAACTTATGTTTC